GGCCTGCAGAGGCTGCGCCTGTGCCCCCACGCCCTGCGGCGCGGCGGTGCAACTGTCGACTTCGCTCTGAAGTACCGCTCCCTCGCAGAGGTGCAGCGCCACGGCCGCTGGAAGTGCGCTGCGAGCGTGAGACGGTACGAGGAGGCCGGCCGCTTGACTCGCCAGCTCGCCAAGATGTCCCGTGCTCAACTGTCGGCCGCCAGTCTCGTGAGTAAACGCTTAGCTGCCAAAGCATCTTTCGACTTTGGCCGCACTGTGTCAAGGTGAGCCCGAAGTTGCCCCCGAGGAGCCCTGTGGCCTCACCAGCTCCCAATACGGGAAAATCTGGGTGCAGTCTGTTTGCAGTGTTGTGTCGTGCGCGACTGTATCATAGGCATTGCTTTCGTTGGCATACGCATTGGATTCACTTCGGCCCTCGGCCGATCGATGCAAGTTCGTGAGAATGAATTGTTGTGCAATCCCTCAGGCTTCGACTGCGCCGCCATCTCTGGTCGTGCGTCTTGGGGCCTTGCATAATGTCGTTCTTTGAAGTTAATTGTCCCTTGCCTCTCTTTGAGCACGACCGTCGGTATACTTGTGCTCAAGTTTTTCGGCGCCGTCCGCCTTCTCCCACCGCCACCTGGGTGCAGTCTGTTTGCATTGTTGTGTCGTGCGCTACTGTATGATAGGCATTGCTTTCGTTGGCATACGCATTGGATTCACTTCGGCTCTCGGCCGATCGATGCAAGTTCGTGCTAATGAATTGTTGTGCAATCCCTCAGGCTTCGCCTGCGCCGCCATCTCTGGTCGTGCGTCTTGGGGCCTTGCATATATATATATATATATATACATACATACATACAAACATACATACATACATTTATATATATAAATACATATATAGCCATGTTGGCTCAAGCTTCGTAGCCACGTTGGCTCAAGCTTATATGATCTTTCTGGAGCGTACTCCAGCGGCGGACTGCCGCTTTGCTGCAAGGATTAAATTTGGAGCACCTGGGGTGCCACGGGGCGCGAGATGCCGTCCGACTCGCAGGTTAAGGCGGCGGCCTTCCTGGCGGTGACCCTGCAGCGAGCCTGCCACAACTTCTTCATCGAGTGGGCCAAGGGCGACTCCGCGAGCGCCACCTACACCGTGTCCAGCGTGATCTTCGTGGCCCAAACGTTTTGCGTCTTTGTCGGCTGGGCCCTGGCGTACCAGGGCGGTGGCAGCGCGGACATGAAGAAATGCTTCGACAAGGGCATCCTGACGAAGTTCGCCCACATCGGCATAATCTACGCGATGGGGGACATCCTCGAGATGGAGTCTGTGAACTACATCGACTCGTCCACGTACACGGTGCTGTCCCAGTCCAAGCTCATCATCACGGCCCTGCTGATGTGGGCCATCGACGGCATTGCACAGAACTTGATGCAGTGGTTCATCTTCTTCACGACCTCGTCCAGCATGCTGGAGTACGTGCTCGTGGGCATGGCCAAGGAGGGCAGCGTGACCTTCAGCCCCTTTGGCGTCGGCCTCGCCCTTGTCAAGGTGGTGATCAGTTGCTACGTGGCGGTGCTCAACCAGAAGGCTCTCAAGATGGACTCCAACCCGTTCCCCGTGCAGTTCTCCTGTTTGAAAGTCTCCTGCGCGTTGACGAGCCTGGTGTACATGCTCGTCAAGGACGGCCTCATGGGTGACGGTGACCTGTTCGGCGAGTGGACCTACCGGACCGTGGTGCTCGTCTTCGCCGGCTTCGTCCTGAAGACGCTCTTCAGCTTGTACTTGTTCAAGGTCTTGGACGCCATCTGGAAGAGCATCAGCGAGGCCGTCGGCGTCCTCCTCGTGTACTTCGCGAAAGTGACCTTCCTAGGCGGCACTCTCGACGCTACCGTGTTCAACGCGGCCTTCACGGTGATCCTCGCCTGCATCGCTTACGTCTTGTCGCAGGATGACGCGAGCAAGAAGAAGAGCGACATCTGCGACGAGCTCGACCCTCGTGCGTGCGCCATGGACCCTTCCCAGGGGGTAGCCGTTCAGCTTCTGCCAGCGGGTGAAGATCTTCCGAGCAGCCCGCGATTGCAAGTACCCCGAGCTCGCGACGGGCCTCCTCGCGTCTGCGCGGCGCCGCCTGCCGCAGTGAGCCCTCCTGGGCGGACCGAGCCGAGGGCTGCTCGGTCGTGAGGAAGCAGGGCAAGGAGGGAAGGCACAATGATTGCTCGCCAAGTCAATTCTTCCACTTGCGCCGCAGGGCTAGCGGCTGCAGGCCCGTGGGCCACCTGTCTGCGGCGGTGGCAGCGCCCTCGCCCCAGCCGGGTGGGAGCGCGGGGTTTTATTTTTTCGTTTCCCCAACCCGGGCCCTCGTGGTGGCCGCGTCCCCGTGCTGCGAGAGCGCGTCGCGGCGCTGCGGGCTGGGCCCCCTGCGGAGCGGGGGAGGGGAAGAGACCTCGTCGCGTCTCGCCGCCGCCCCCCCCCACTGAGGAGGAGTAGAATGGCAATTTTCACGGAATTCGCCGAGCAGCTATGGCGCTCGCCGATCTCTCTCGCGCGCCCGCCTAGGCCCGTCTCTGGAGGACCTTGCGAGCGCCCCTTGGGTACGAGGTATATCACGGGGGAGAAGGCTTGGGGCCTGAAAACAGCTGCCTCGACCCTCCATGGGAGTACCGGGGCTCATTTTCCTTGTGTTTTTACCAGGTTTCGGCGCCCCGGGCCTCGGAGGCCGCCGCGATGGTCACAGACATTTTCCAGGTCCTCGGCGCGAGCTCCAAGACCATCCCGCAGAGGGCTCCAACAGTTTCCAGGCCAGCCCAAGAAGGGGGTCACAGACCCCCTCGGGACTGCCCTGGGCCTTAAATTGCCCACGACAGGCCACGCGGGCCGCACAGATGGTCACGAATGCCTGAAGAGGCCCCGAAGACGCCCAATAGCGCCCCAAGAGGGCCCGCGAGGGCCCCGAGAGGGCCTTCAAGAGGCAAAAATCTGCCCATTTCCATTGTAAAAATGCACTTTCGGCATACTCGCTGGCTTTGCCTTCACAGTGCCCCAGGCGCCCCCGCGGAGCCCCAACACAGCCCAAGAGAGACGGGAGGGGGGTGGGAGGCGGGGACGGGCGCAACACGACGAATCTGATCGCGGCCTGTAGTGTCGAGATGTGCTCCGGGAGCGGTAATGTCGCTGGCGCCGGGGCGAGCGCAGGACTCCCAGAAGCACGCGTATTGCAGTCTCTGGCGGGAGTGCCGTGCTTGCGTAGATGTTGAGGCTGTATCCAGCGAGAGGAATGATAGGAAGGCGGGGGGGAGAACCTGTAGAGGAGGGGGAGGAGGAGGAGGAGGAGGAGGAGGAGGAGGAGGAGGAGGAGGCCTCTGCCGCTCCCCCTCCTCCGCCCGCTGCTCAGAGGATCTGGGCAGCGGCTGGTCCGACTCCCTCCTCGTCGCTGCCGCCCCTCTCCCCTTAATCCTTTTCCTCCTCCTCATTTCTCCTTTCTCCTTCCTGCGGCCCAGCTGGAGCCGGGCCCGTCCGGCCGCCCACTCGGAGGTCGGGCGGACTCAGAAGGTGCTCGCGGGCCGGTTGCGCCAGCGCCTCTTCCGTCGAGGCCTGGGGTGTCCACCCCCGCGCCCTTCTCGCCCGCTCGCCCAGGCACGGTCCACGGGTGGGTGGCCCCGATTGTTGTACCCACGCGGCCGTTTCGTTTTTTGCAGTCTCTGTCTGAGTTGCCCTGTCACGCTGTCACGACGACCGCGCGCGGCGGCTGCGTTTTAATGGAGATGCTCCCTCAGATCCTGAGCATGAGGCTCCATACCCTGAGTGCGAGGCTCCACTCACACTCAAGTAGCTCATACCTGGACTCGCTCATGCTCCGACCCTTCCTTATTCAGAAGTATCCTCTTCCTCCTTCTCCTTCTCGTCCTCCTTCTCCTCCCCTGGCCGGCTGGAGCAGAGAGGCGTCCCCTTCTCATCAGATGTGAAGGGGGCGACTTTAATACACTTTGTTTTCCATGGGCGTCTGCGTCGTCGCAGCGCCGTTTGCAGAGGGGCGTTGTTTCTTCGCCACGCGCTTATGCACGCGATCTCCTCTGTCACCTTGATGCACAGCTTCGAGCATAGCCGTTGTTCATTCGAGCATTGCTAAACAAAAAAAAAAAGACCCAAGAGGGCCCCAGACGGCCCAAAAGAGTCGGCCTGTGGAGCTCACGGAACCCCCCAAGACGGCCCAAGAGGCCCCGAAGCCGGCCCAGGAGGCCCCCAAGACGGCCTCAGGGAGGCCCAAGAGGGCCCCGTTCGAAATCATGTTCCCGGAAGCCTTTCCGGGAACATGATTTCGGAGCTTCCAGGGCCCCCCACTGAGCCTCAGGACAGCCTCAGGACGGCCGACGACGCCGCCAAAACGCCCCAAGAGCGCCTCCAGAGGCTCCTCCAAAGGGCCCCAGAAGCCGAACATCATTCATTTTCCTATGGTTTTTGAAGCATTCTTGCGCTCTCCCATGTACCGCCTCCCCACGGTCCCCGACCGCGTCAGATGCCCGTCAGATCGCTCCAAGACGGCCGAAGAGGCTCCCAAGAAAGCCCAGAGACGGCCCAGGAGGCTCCCCAGATGAATCAAGAGGGCCTCGAGAGCGCCCCAAGAGAGCCCCAAGAGCGACCCAAGAGGGCCCGAAGAGCGCGACATTTCAAGGTCTCCGGCCTGAGAGCTCCTAGGACGCCCCCGGAGGCCACCAAGAGGCTCCCAAGAAGCCCCGTGAGGCGCCCAAGAGGCCCGCCCAGGGCTCCTCACGCCTGGAGCTTCGCCCGTGGGAGCTACGGCCGCCCCGACCATCCCGCCCGACGCCAAGCTCGAGGACATCCAGGCCATCATTGACACGCTCACCAAAGTTGGAGATCGAGTCGGGGCGGCCCACTACAGCAATATCTTCGAGCAGCGCAAGGCGAACCTTGCCGCAGCCCGCAAGCAGCAGCCCCTCCAGCAGCGGGCCAACTCAGCCTTCCAGTCGGTGCGGAACCTGGAGGGCAAGCTGGAGAAGGCGGTGGCGCATTTTCAGCGACTGGAGTCTCAGTTGGCTGAGCAGAAAGAATGGGTTTCGAAGGTCAACGAGGAGCTGGTGGCCGCGGAGTCAGAGCACGCCCAGCTGGTCCGTGCGCTTCACGCCAGCACCTGCGGGCCGCCGAGCCCCACTTCGCCTGCCCCAGCAAACCTGGTCACCATCTCGATTGATGACATCTTGGAGGGCAAGTCTGATTTGCCCATCTCCATGGGAAGTTTCGGCCAGCTCGACGACGGCATCTACGAGCTGGACCAGCGCACCCGAGACGAAGCAAAGCAGCGTATGGAAAAACATCTGCAGGCCGACATCAAGGCGGCTATTGGGGTGCTCTTTGGAGACGCCTCGGCCAAGTTCAAGGCGGCGAAGGAGGAGCATCAGGCATTACTCGGACGTCTTCAGAAGGAAAAGCGCAAGGTCGACGGCGCTAAAGGCGATGGGGAGCCTGCGTCCGCAGCAGCCACTCCAGCACCTGGGGGCCCGCAGCCCCCTTCTGAGTCTGCGCTGCCTGTGCCTGCCGCTACTGCGCCTGCCCCTTCAGAAGGTCCCGCGTCTTCCTCGGTGGAGGAAACGGCGCGTCGGGCCACTCGGGCGGCAGCGGCCACCATTTTGCAGCAGGGGGAAGCCCCCCCCCCCCCCCCCCTCAGGTGGCGCAGCCGCAGCCTGAGGGGGGGTGCCCCGCCATGCCTAACTTTAGTATACTGGGCGGGCTTAGCCAGCCCGCCATCTCCCAATTCTGGTCCAGGCTCACCTGGGCTAAGTTGCGCGCTCGGAGGGCCCTGAATTTTTTGTCGCCGACCCAGGCCCAGGCCCGGGAGCGTCGGGGCCACCCCCCTCCTCCTCGCCTCCGTCCTCTCCCCCCCCCCGCCCCAGGAAGGTGGGTCGGACCTCGCCCTGAGATTGCGACTGCCAATGTTTCAGGGCGGGGGTCTGGCCAACAGTTTTTACTAAACACCTCCGCGCATGTCGTCTGCATGCAGGAGCACCACCTCCTGGCAGGGGAACGTTTGGAGCACGCCAGTGCCTGGGCTTCTCGCAGCAAGTGGCGTGCCATATGGGGTCCAGCGGCTCCAGGAGACGGCGTCGGGTCCAAGGGAGGTGTCGCGATATTCGTCCGAGACTTCTTGGGCTTGCACCATGGTATCGCCTCGCCGTCGCCGTCTCGGGTCATTTCAGGAGTTGTGGGGGTTCCTGGTGGTCTAGATTTTTCGGTTACGTCGATCTACCTCAGAGATGGATGGCACTGGCATCGGCCAGTACAACCAGCAGCTATTGTCGGACGCAGGACAGGCCTCCACGGGTCCCTGCCTCCCTTGGAATATCTGCGGGGATTTCAACCTCCCCCCGTGCGGTTTACACGAGTTTGGATATCCTGAGCAGTGCGACGGTGGAGTGATTCTCTATCCTGCATGTTCTGGGACGTGTCAAACTACGGGCGGGATGAAAATGAATGATTATTTTGTGGCTAGCCCTGGCCTTAGCTTTGCCATCCAATCCCTGGAACTCGCGTCGGATGGAGGTCTCTCGCCGCACTGGCCTGTGCAGATCATTCTGTTTCCGCAATTCGGACAGCTCCGTGCGATGACGCTCGCTCGGCCGCAGCGCATCCCGCCCGTTCGCCAGGCCGGGCCGCATGGCCCACCGCCTGACTATCTGCCAGCTAAGGAATTGCTGCGGGATGCGCTCAGGGCTGCTCGGGCAGGTAAGGGGAAGGAATCCAAGGCCCCCCCCACGAACGCCTATTGTGCCTGGGCGGATCTGGCGGAAGCTGAAGTTGCGGAGTTGGCGGGGGTCGAGCTCAAGGCCCCTGGGGCCCCTGGGGCCGTCCCCGACATCGTCTGGCAGCCTGTCTACCTTCGGGGCGTCAAACCGCCCCGCCAGCCTGGGTTGGTCTCTGCCAGGTGGCTCTGGGAAACCATTTTAATGCTCGAGGCCAGCATCCAACATCCACTCCTGGCGGGCCTCTCTTTCGCTATTTCCTACGGCTTCGCTGTGCCGCCAACCATTGTCAAGCACCAAGGTGAACATCGGCACCTGTTCCTCACGGCCCTTGAGTTGTGCCACTCCTCGTCGCTCCACCCCTGGCCTGAGGGCCTCGGATGCAGGATCAGCGAGTTATGCGCGGGCGCGTTATGGATGCTTTGCACCTGGCGGAGCAGGCGGCCCGAAATGAAGCTACCCAAGGGTGGCGGACTTGGCTCCCCAAGGGAATCGACAATGATGGGCGCAATGTGCATTTGGTCATCACCATGGCCCCCACTCCCTGGCAGCCAAGTACGGTCTTGGCGGCGGGAGGAAGAATTGTTAAAGATCCACAGAGTGCGCTGGCTGCTGAGGCCAGCAAGTATCATTTTTTTGGGGGGGGGCTTCGCCTACCCCGCCGACCCCGACGGCCGACTTCCTGCCCGCTCACGAGCTTCCTCGCCTCGAGCTGGACGCTGTTCGGACAATCTGCCTCCGACAAAAGGAGAAGCCGGCTGTTGCTACCGATGGTATTCACCTGCGTCATCTGGGGTGGTTGCGTGACGAGGGCCTGCAGTGCCTTCTGGACCTGTTCTTGGTTATGGAAACCTCGGGATTGTTGCCCGACCAGTTGGCGATTGTTATCATGTTTCTGATCCCTATGGTTCCTGTAGCTGTGCGTCCCATCGGGATTTTCACGGCGCCCTACCGTGTTTGGGCTAAGGCGCGAAGGCCTATTGCCGATGCTTGGGAAGCCCCGCGCGCGCGGCCTTATTTTGCGGCTGGCTCTTTCACTGGTGCAGGGGACACTGTTTGGAGACAACTCCGCAAGGCCGAAGTTGGAGTTTCGTCTTCAAAAATCGCCGTCAATCTCCTTTGTGATTTCTTCAAGTACTATGATTTCCTTCTTCTGCACCAGTTGCAGCAGAGATGCTGTCGGCACGAATTTCCGCTCGTTGTCAGCCGCCTGGCCATCAGTGCGTACTCCTCTGTGCGACATCTCACGTTCCAGGCTATGGTGTCGAGCGGGGTTTTCGCTTCTAATGGAGTTGTGGCAGGGCGCAGCATGGCCACGACGATGATCCGCGTCAATGCCCTCGACCCCCATGGACGCTATATCCTGGAGCCCTGTTGTCGATTTCAAGCTCTACATTGATGATAGCAGTATTTCGGCCGTAGGGGATTTTCAGGAGGTGGTGGAGGGAGTCGCTGCAGGTGCACGGCAATTACAGAAGGCGCCGATTGCGATCGGCGCGTCCCTCCCGGCCGACAAGGCCACCCTGATTTGTAGCAATCGAGGGGCGGGGCTTCAAATCCAACAAAACCTTGGTCTGGAACTCACGGGGCCCCTCGTGTCCTCCGGGGTCAATCTTGGGGTTGACGACGCGCAGGGCCGATCCCAGGGGGTCCCGGGGCGAAATTCCATTGCCAAAAAGAGAAGGGCGGCTGGGGGGGCCAGGGCCGTCAGGCTCGGGCGTCTCTCGAGGCACCTTTCCCGTCGTCGCCGTCGTCGGCTCTGGGTGGCGGGCCTCCCCCCTGCGTCTAGTTATGGGTCGGAGTGTTTCGGGCTTTCCTCCTCGGAGCTCTTGGGGCTCAGGCGTTCCCTCGGGCGGCTGCTCAAGCCTTCCGCGGGTCAGCGTTCCCTGTCCACTTTGATGCTTTTGGAGGGGGGCCCCACGTGGTTGACCCAGGTCTCTTGTGTTGCCAGATGGCATGGGGAGGTCTGGGTCTCTGCCAGTGCGCTCCACCCCGCGGCGGTGCCTGTCCCTCTGCTGCGGCGTTATTGGCAGGCGGTCTGGGACCTCCCCATGCCCACCTGGAGGGGTGTCTCTGGCCCCATTTCGGCTGCCAGATTAACCTTGCACAGACTGGGTTGGAGCATGCTAGAGTTTAACCGCCTTCAGGGCGATCTGGGCTCGGTGCACGAGCTTTCTTACACGTCCCCGGCCCTCCTCAGGACTCATCTTCGCTCGGCCGCCCCCGGGAGATTGGAGAGAGACAGTGCAGCTAAGCGCCACTTCGTCCACGAGCGCCTCTCCTTCGGCGTGGTTTCTGCTTGTCTTTCCTCCTCTAAGTTTACCCCCCTGCAGAAGGGGGCGCTGCGTTCGTGCTCTTGTGATGGTATC